ACAGTGCACTTTTCGACACACAGGATTGTAACAATTTCTATACAGTACCAATTTAGAGCTGGAGGGAGGCCATGAATACTTCTAAAGGCAGTAGGATGCATGTATTTTAGGAAATATATTTGGGAGAAAAAAACAGCTTTCATCTAAAAAGCAGGTCTATGGCTTTTCAGAGAAACTTGCTGCCATTAATTCAGAAAACAGAAATGGTCTTTGCAAACGTTTGTAGATAGCATTATTATATGATATGAATGTATACTCATATAAAATTAAAAGTTGGAGGTTTTTGTTTGTTTGGTTGGTTATTTTGTTGTTGTTGTTGTTGTTGTTGTTGTTGTTGTTGTTGTTGTTTCTTTGCTTTTTTTTTCGAAAACCCCAAGTCATTCCTTATATCCAGGTAGTACTCCAGGCAACATCAAATATAAAGCATTATTTGATTTTTTAATTATTCAACAAAAAATACTTTTGTGAAAGCATACCATATGTTGTACAAAAAGTACTGTGCTCTGGTCTCAGGACATCCCTTCTCATTCCACATTCTGGCCACATGCAAGAATATTTCCACCCCACTCAATCTTAGCTTTTGGAAATGTGGGCAAGAAATTTGGCACTTTAAAAACAATTATTGGAACATGCTTGAGAGACTGGAATTAAGAGAAATTTGAATTTCTTTTCCAATTAAAAGGGAAAAACTAGTTAAGCATTAGGGAAATATGAAAGAACCATAAAATAAAGTCTCCTTATTGGTCCCCAAGAAATGGAAGAGAACTAGATTCACTAAGTACCTACTGTGTGTAGGTACCTTAAAAGGTGGTCTTTATAAATTTCATTTGAAAAAAATCCACCCGAGCAAATATTTTTTCACTCTTTTATGTATCAGAAAACTATAGAGAGATTAAAATAAAACCTGAATGGGAAAAAAATCATTTAGCCTGATGTAGATGAGGGATTTTAGACCATGTAAGCTAGCTTCTGGACATTGTCATGGCAGTAAACTGTCATGGCACTGGTGGGAGTATCTTTTAGCATGCTAATGCATTATAATGAGTGCATAAGGAGCACATGGGCAACCAGAGGTTGCTTTCATTTACCATCCTGGTTTTGGTGGGTTTTGACTGGCTTCTTTACTACATCCTGTTTCATCAGTGGGGTCTTTGTGACCTGTATCCTGTGAAACCAGTCCTGCCGGCTTCCTATCTCATCCTGTGACTAAGAATGCCTAACCTCCTGATAATGCAGCGTAGCAGTTCTTAGCCTCATTTTACCCAGCCCCTGTTCAAGATAGAGTCCTTCAGGTTCTAACACCTCTGGCAGGGCTGCTGTCTTTCGATAAACCTTTTTTTTTTAATTGCTTGGAGAAGTAGGAAGTTTTTTTGTGTGAGAGAAAATGTGTCATTGTTTTCTCTCACATCACTAGCTTTTCAAAATCTTTTTTTTTTTTTTTTTTTCTGGCCAGAGTGTTACAGAGAAATAGACTTTTGGCAAACTTATTCTGCAAACATTTACTCAGATGATTGTATGTAGGTTGTGCTTGTCAGAGAGATTTCATGGAGGATTATTAAAAGAAAATGTTGGCTGTCATTAATGACATTTTGAAAAATGTCTTTAGATACTGCTGATTACTAGTTATTGGAACTGAAGCAGGAATGCAATTAAAATAGAGCTTTAAATGAATTACATATACTGATGCTAGACTTGGCAGAGCTTCTGGGTTGATAGCAAAACAAGTGTGTTATGCATTGCTTTGATTAGCATTCCAGAAATATGCCTGTTTTTGTAAATGGTATTTGTTTTGTATAAGGTATTTGACTATTCCACAAGCTCTCAGGACCGTGGTTATATGGGATGATGGAGACTTCAAAGGCTTGAGACGTTTTGTGCACCAATGTCTATAGTTGTGAAAATGTAACTGTGTACACATGTAGTAGCATATTTTCTTTTCTTTTCTTTCTTTCTTTTTTTTTTTTTTTTAAAGACAGGGTTTCACCGTGTTGGCCAGGCTGGTCTTGAACTCCTGACTTCAGGTGATCCGCCCGCCTCGGCCTCCCAAAGTGCTGAGATTACAGGCGTGAGCCACTGTGCCCGGCCGCATATTTTCATAATTTATGTTTGTAGCAATGAGAGAAAACAAAAATCACATGCTTATTTTGAGATATTGTTGGCCACATAGAATTTAACAATTTCTTTATGAAATAAATGTTTGTTGGATATTTCTTGAGTGAAATGATAAAGACTTACCTTGCAAGTGGCAAGAGTGTCATGTATTCATTTCAAATAGTCTTAAGGAAGAATTAGGTCTTAGCATGCTTATTAAGTAACCACTAAACGTTTTTGCCTTGGAGCAAATGTCTAAAAAAAATAAGTCACCAGAGCTCTGAGGACAATGCATTGCTGTAGCCTCAGGAAACAAAAAACTAGCTCTTTAAGGAAATCATAAGTAAGTTAGATATGTTTTTAAATGTTTTGTTGCTATTAGAAAATTGTTTTTGTTTTTCAATTGCTATATTGGTGAAAAATTTGTTATTGAACATGCTTGGGAGAGATAAGCATGGTAACTTGGGACAGGCTCATAAATGTCTTAGAAAAGGATTATTGAAAGAGCTCAAGTTTTTTTTAATTAAAATAATTGGTAATAAATTGTTTTCATATGTAACATCACTGACTATGAAATCTAAAATATTCTTATGGGAAATATATGTCTTTAATGACACCTATATGAAGCAAGAAAGAGACATTATTCCAAAGAGTAATGGTCTGGGGATTGTTCACGGGCAAAGATTCAGCTACTTGCAGAGTCTTTGTCATTTCACTCAAGAAACATCCAACAAGCATTTATTTCCATAAAGACACTGTTAAATGCAAACATCAAATTTGATGGTACTTTTTTTTTTTTTTTTTGAGACGGAGTTTCACTCTTGTTGCCCAGGCTGGAGTGCAATGGCGCGATCTCGGCTCACCGCAACCTCCGCCTCCTGGGTTCAGGCAATTCTCCTGCCTCAGCCTCCTGAGTAGCTGGGATTACAGGCACGTGCCACCATGTCCAGCTAATTTTTTGTATTTTTAGTAGAGACGGGGTTTCACCATGTTGACCAGGATGGTCTCGATCTCTTGACCTCGTGATCCACCCGCCTCGGCCTCCCAAAGTGCTGGGATTACAGGCTTGAGCCACCGCGCCCGGCCCAGTAGTTCTTTTTAAAGTTTAGAAAACATCAGAATTTTCTGTAGAACTTGTTAAAAGAGATTCCTGGGCCCTGATCCCAGAGACTTGGACTATAGGTTGAGAATGAGGCCTATGAGTTTTCATTTCACACAAACTCCAAGGGATGCCCACACTATCAGTCACCGATCACACTTTGAGCAGTATTATTATAAAGAATTGACAGTTGGCACAGGGGCAGTTGATTTCATACATATCTTTGATTAAAAAATGGCAATGAATATTGAAAATTTCTTCATAGAGTCTTCCAGTGTATCTTCTAACTATGTATTTTAAAACATGGATGAGGTTACGAGAAAATAGAGTGAAAAAGTAGTATTGGTTCACCAAATATCCTGAATTCTGCATTATATATATCTGAAATTTAACTGAGAATTTCCACTGTGATTGGAAAATTTATCAACAATGAAATAGAAATAATATAGATAGAATATAGATACAATAATCACGAATGTATGAGAGCTAGGGCTATGCCTATATTTAGATGATTGACATCTGACTATATATGACTGTTAATGTTTACAACTTGCATTAAATATAATTTTGAGAATCAAGTTTCCATGCAGATAAATGTAACATTTTTTTTCAACCATGAGACCTGGCTACTATCAATCAGGCACATATAGATATCCCATATGTACACAAAAACTATATATACTTTATTTTTATTTTTATTTTTTGAGACAGAGTTTCACTCTGTTGCCCAGGCTGAGTGCAGTGGCCCTATCTCAGCTCACTGCAACCTCCATCTCCCAAGTTCAAGTGATTCTCCTGCCTCAGCCTTCCGAGAAGCTGGCACTACAGGCAAACGCCACAATGCCAGGCTAATTTTTATATTTTTTTGTAGAGACAGAGTTTCACTTTGTTGGCCAGTCTGATCACGAACTCCTGGCCTCAAGTGACCTGCGCACCTCAGCCTCCCAAAGTGCTGGGATTACAGGCTTGAGCCACCTCACTTGGCCTCAGACTTATATATACTTTACATTTCATGTATATATATAATGTATATGCTAATATACTATATGTTAGTAATAAACTATACATTATATGTGTATATAATTTGTTTATTCAACAATCTTACTATGTATTATTACAGTCATTCTTGAACAATGGAGTCTGGCTAGTGTCTTTATTAGAATGCATATAGTAATAAGCTATATACATGTATGTTTAAGAATACTTCATTTTCTGTTATGAAACTCTCATGTCAGAATCTAACAGATTTACTCAATGCATTTTAATGGAGTGAATAAACTGGATGTATCTGAATGCTGTTGGTTTCATTGATACAAGGACACACATTAATAATAATATGTGTACATACATACATTTAATACAATGTATTTTCACTTACTTGTAGAAGAGTATATGAAAAATAGCCGAATGCTGCCAATCTAAAAGAAATGTAATATTAAGTTTTATGGGAAAAGAATTCATCAGAAACAACAACCTTTAGAAAGTATTTCTTACTGAATAGAAAATATTTCTTAGTCCAATTCCTCTGGCTGATGGTGACAATCATTGCTTTTCCTGTAAGTCACTGCCAGGCGGTAACGTTTCCTTTTCAATTATGTTGAAATACATTTTTTGGTCCCCATTCTGTAATGGTGCTTTTGCTCAGATTTGTGTTATACCCAATTAAAAAGAGCAGCTGATTCTTTGGTTTTCTAAACTAACCAGAATAAAGGAGCATTGAAAAGCCACAATTACAGGTGAATTCTTTTTTCCTCTTGGCTTTTTTTTTTGTTTCCATGTTTTATTTATTTTTATTGTTCCTTCCTTTCAGTGCCTGGAGCCCTGCAAGGAATCAGGGGACCTGAGGAAACACCAGTGCCAAAGCTTCTGTGAGGTAGGAGAACGTCAGTGGTACTTAAAACGCTTGACCCAAATCGGACTATGTTTACGTGGGGTCATGGGTATGAATAGGCCCTCTTATTCTTCTGCAGCTTGGAGAGATCATTTACTGCAGGTGTGTGTAAGTATATGTAAATTCATGTAAAAAATATAGAGCCTTCTTAAAATCTGGCTACCCACTCCTTGCATTATTGGCTAATCAAACCAAAAAAACAAAAGCAAAGTATGGATGGAAGACTAGAAGCTTTCTAAAGGCATAGTTTGTCACCACTCTCCTACCTTACATCATAGCTATTCTGAGTAGTTTTCACATGCTTTTGAAATATTTATGCAATTTGGGAGAAGAGACTCATATTATTGCTCATGGTGTTTCTCAGATATTTTCATCTTTTTGTTCCTTCTCAGAATTCCTCCCCATATCCTGGGCAGAATGCTTGCCTGCTTTTAACTGTACAGGAGAGAGGCATCTTACTCCACCTAACTGTCAGTTAGATTAGTATTCATCTTTTCATCTATTCATCTATCCATCTGTCTATCCATCTACCCCTCCATCCATCTGTCTATCATCTGTCTCTCCATCCAACCATCTATACATCCATCTGTCCACCTATCTGTCTATTTTCTATTTATCTATCTGTTTCTCTATCCATCCATTCATCCATCCACTCTTGCATCCACCCATTCATCTCTCTATCATCGTTATTAGGAGAATATATAATACTGTCCTAGAAGACCACTGTCTAAAATCACCAATACTGCAAAAAAGGAGAAGACCTGTTTTTACAGGACTGTATTCCCCAGGGAATACAGGGGGCACAAGCCATATAACAGCATGGATTCTGCTGATAAGTAACCACAAAGATGCAAGGCCAGGCACATTGCCTGGTTCCAAGGATTCCAAGGACAGTGGACTTGAGAAGTAGGAGAATTTGAAGGTTTAGGGGGAACAGTAGAGAATGAGTCAAAAGAGTCCACTTTGGCAGTCAGGAAAGCTCAGTTGAGAGTCTTGGCCAGAAGAGGTGCTCCCAACATCAGAATGAAATGACGTTATGGATTATCTTTTAACAGAACTGGGGGCTGAAAGAGAACTCTCCCAAGGATCCAAGAGACATTGATCTGGTCTTGATCCACTGAAGCAAATAAATGCTAATGTAATCCTGTTGCCTGGGTTTCACTCTGGATGTTATTCTGAGAAGATGACTGCAGAATTAGGCAATAATGGCTTCATCGATATGTATGGAGTGTAAAATATCTTCATGATCTTACTTGACCTTTCTCATACTCCTGTAGTTAGGCAAAGCAGATAGTAAGTCCAGATGTGAAAGCCAGAAAGGACTGGGAAATTGAGGCTCCTCAAATGAATGACTTGTCTGCAGCCAACCCTCCAGGTAGAAAGGCTGGGTCTAAAACTCCTGTCCTCTGACCCCTCTCACTGATTGTCTAAGTGTTGTTCCTGGTCAACTCCACTTGGTCAATCACCAGGGGTCATAGTGGGTTTGGGCCCCTTGAGACATAGAAAAGATGCAGAAGAAATAAAACTGATGATTTGCTGCAAGGACAAGGAGAGCGAGGCCATCTCATGGCTTTGTTTGTGTTCTGCTTTTACCTTTCTGTGTTCCTACTTTAACTATTTTAAAAAGATTTATTCATTCATTTATTCAACATGAACTTTTTGAATATCCGTAATGTGTTCTGCAGTTTGGTAGAGATGTGGTAGTAAACAAATCACGAAAAAATTCCAGGCTTTGTGGGGCTTATTTTCTCCTGGATGAAAGAGCTCAGCTGCGAATGATGGCAACTTGATTCTAATCCTAACTGCAAAACCAATTTACTCTATAAATTTGGTTAAATCAATTAACCTGTGTCTTCAACCTCATTTTTCAAATAAGGGATTTATCCTATTGATCTTACACAGTGTTTGTTAAAATAGGTAATGAATGTAAATGTACGGTACAAGAACTTATCAAGCTGTACAAAAGTAACAGAATGATATTTCCTTTGTATTATGTGTTACAGGCTTGAGAGTCACAGCTCTGTAAGGTATCTAAATCAACTATTGATTCTGAATTTTTACCTACATTGGTAATCCTTATCAACACAATTAGAGCACACTGTCTAGTGGAGTGACTGTTGTGCTCTTAACTTTAATTTTCTATTCTATTCCATACACAAACTATACATTTATAGGCATGAAAATAGATATTTATACAATCTTTTTTTTTTTTTTTGGTTGCCCAATCTGGAGTGCAGTGGTGCAATCTCAGCTCACTGCACCCTCTGCCTCCTGGGTTCAAGTGATTCTCGTTCCTCAGTCTCCCAAATAACTGAAATTACAGGCATATACCACCATACTCAGCTAATTTTTGTATTTTTAGTACAGACAGGGGTTTTGCCATGTTAGTCAGGCAGCTCTCAAACTCTTGGCCTCAAGTGATCTGCCTGCCTGAGCCTCCCAAATTGCTGGGATTATAGGCATGAGCCCCTGCTCCCAACCTGTTTATAGAATCTTGAGGAACAAGGTGTTTCTTTTATAAATTTATTATCCCTAAATATAATTGATTCTGGGCTGATATTTTTACATCTGATCTCTGAGAAGGAAGATATAAGTGAAAGTCATTTGAAACCTTTCTTCCTATAAATTTCAAATTCAAGAGCAGGTTTCTGTAACTGCCATTCTCTGAAGTAACTGTGAGGTGTTCTGAACCAAATCCAGTTTATTAAAATGGGACTCAGGTGTTGAAATTGTGATCCATTCTGGCCGGAACGGTTAATCAAAACTTAAAAGGTGGGGAAAGCAGATGCCAATTAATGTGAGGAGCTTTGTTGAGTTGCTTCAGCCCAACAGTTAAATAATTCCCGACTTGATGTTCCATTTTAGTGGCTTCATTTGTTGTTTTTACATCCCTGTGTGCTTTTTTTGCGTCTGTTTTATTTTGCAGTAAGTATCTGACTATTGTGTTGAAGTAGGCTGAACCTTGAAAACACTGACGGCTGTTTCAGCATTTTTAAGCCTAATCACTTATTGAGACAGGTACAATCCCGTTCATCCTCCCCATTCTCACAGTATTTGTTAAGAATGCACAAAAAGTCCATATTGTCATGACTCCAAGCTTTTCCTTTGTAAAAGTTCAGACCTAAAAGGAACTCTAGATTACAATATTCTTTAACTGAAGCAATTATACCTTTAGACATGTTTGACCCAATATGTTTATTTGCAGGGCAGTCTGAGCTTATTTGTCTTCTAAGCCATAGGTTTGCAAACCATGAGTCACAAGGCACACTGGCCTGCCTCTTGTTTTATAAATAAAGCTTTGTTGGAACACAGCCACACTGGTTTGTTTACATATTGTCCATGGCTGCTTTTGTGCTACAACAACAGAATTGAGTAGTTGTAACATTATATGGCCCTTATAGCCGAAAATATCTTTTATCTGGCCCTTTATAGAAAAATCTTTTCAATTCCTGTTCCAAGAAAAAGAACAGGCTGAGCAATGACTACTGCCTGTAATATCAGCACTTTGGGAAGCTGAGGCAGGAGGACTGCTTGAGAACAGGAGTTCAAGGTTGCAATGAGGTATGATCATGCCATTGCAGTCCAGACTGGACAACAGAGTAAGACCCTGTCTCAGAACAAAAGACAATAAAACAAAGAACAGTGATAATTAGGTCACAAAACTCACCTAACCACAATGAAGGAGTTAAACGTTAGTGTCAGAACAGGAATAAAATTGAGATATTTCAGCAGTCCTCTGGATTATATGACATATTTTTTTTCATGTATCAAATTTTTGTAACATGGCACGTAATGATAGACCCATAAGCAGATAGATTCTGTTTTGTTGGTTTAATTTATTAAGTAACCATTATCACTGTCCTCTTATTTTCAAAAAGCTTAAAAACCATGACAAACTTTTTTTTTTTTTTACCAAGTAAAAAATGTACATTTTCCTAGATTGAAACATTCCTTTCTCACAATCAATGGAATCTTAAATTTTAAATGGCAATATTTTCTTTCTCATTCTTAATGATCTTAGTTTTGGTGAAACTTGATATATCATTATTTATGACTTGCCTCCTTGCTGTTTACTTCCATTTTTTTTTTCCACAGCACTGAGTTTTATTTAGGGATTTCATTAAGGTTAAATTTCTAGGAATGAGGGAGTCCTAGTTAGAGAGCACAAAAGCCCATGAAGCCTCCTCAGATCTCATAGTGAACCACCAGCTCGGGTTCTTTGGAGGGATGGCTGCCTAGTTTCAGGTACAGATCATTGTAAGGATACTGCTTTGGTGCCACAGGCTGGTAGACAGGGTAGTTATGCCCTACCCAGAACATGAACATCATGAAAACCACAAAGCCAAAGAGCTGCCTACACATGTCATTCCAAGAAACAGGTGTTGGGGACGTATCCACATGGTTCCTGGCATACATGTCTATATCCCAGTGCCTCCTTTCACCCCAGTTCAACCTCAGGTCTGGTTGATCCCAGTCATACCATGGATCCCTCTCTTGCTGTGAGCAGTCAGGAAGTTACGGGTAGTAGTCGCCATACCCCAGTCATCATTTGGGTAAGGCTCGTAGTCTTCCACACACATATATACTTCTTGGCAGTGGTGGTCTGTTCTTCTGGGGTCCTAGGATAGGGCCCCAGGAGCATGTCCTTGGTAAGGTGGGAGAGTCTCCATGCACCAAGTGGCATTACATTCTGGGATGCCCTTTGGAGGCACCGGACTCCCAGGACCCCAGCCGTGGCCACCGCCATCTTCATCTTCGTCACGGTTTCCTTCTGTACCCCATCTTTGATTTTGATGTTTCTGACTCATGACATCTCAACACTAAGTAAGAACTCAGTGGATGTCAACATTGGAAGTATGCAGCACATGTTAATGTCATAGAAAAGCTGAAACCTCATTGACTTTAGGGGTCAATCAAGGCTAAAAATATAAGTTGTTTTGGATCAGTATGCATCGTGAGATATGCAGTCTTAGCCTAGAAAA